AAAAACAGTAATACAAAACCACTGGTCCACATGGGCTCTAGGATCCTGAAGGAACAAATGGTGTATAAACCAATTATTGGTCACAGGCTACCATGAGACTCTATCTCCTACCGTTTCTTCACTGCCTTGTGGATTAGACATTTAGTTCAAGTGCTCGGGGAGTGACCCCCTAAGAAACCTATCTGCTTCGGTTTGGGCACCCGGATAATATCACAGCCACCACACAAATCAAGTAACTTGTGTGTCGCAAATGTACTCGGTGCCACTTGGTACCAATATTTATGTGTTCAAATAAATAAATATATAACTAAAGATAATTATCTTGATAAGAAATGACTTTATGTGTTATGATGACTTTTGAATCTAGAGTTTCATATTACTAAGTGACTTTTCGTTAAATAATCACTGAAAACCAGACAGATTGTTATATGAATAAAGAATCCCATATTACAAGATGAAATGGTTGTTCAGTATCAACCTATTTTTTATTAGTTGTTTAACGGAAATCAATTCATGATATAAAATTTCATATAAACTGTTAGATAAATGAAAAAAAAGACCAGTGGAGCTAATCCATGTCGGGTAGAGACAGGTATCTACCTCAGTACAATGGAAGATGGTCGCGCAATTTCGTGGATTGGTTGATGTTAGACATTAACACCATTGGATGCCGGCTCAGTGGTCCAGTAGGTTAAGCATACTCGCTCGAGACCGAAGGCCCTGGGTTCGAATCCCGTGAGTGGGATCGTGGATGCACACTGCTGGGAAGTCCCACAATAGGACGAAACGGCCGTTCAGTGCTTCCAGATTTCCAAAGGTGGTCTAACATCAATCGGTTCATGATCTCAATCAAAAACTTAATAATCTTCACAACCCCTATACTAGCAAAGATTTTAATAGTTGAATTCATGAGTCGATCTAAGCTAGACCACCATCGAAAAACTGAAAGGGTTGTACAAGATCATAGATTGATTAATGTTAAACACTAACACTATTAGTTACCAATCTAGAGGTTAAATGTTCACACACACAAGACTAAAAAGTCCTAGGTCCGATTTCCGCATACAATACCATGAATACACAATGCTGATGATTTCTGTACTAAAATGAAATAACCATTCAGTGCTTCCAAGTTTTCCATAATTATCTAGATTAGATCAACTCATGAATACAACTATAAAATAAATAAATACACCTACACACCTACATCCGCATAGATCGATTTACTGACATACACAAAGTAAACATTAATTTATTTAGACAACAACAAAAAAATTTATTTTTTTCATCATTTTCTCTCTTTTTTTTCTCTACGCTACACACACACACACACTAAAAAACAACAAATACCTACCATAAAATTTTATGAAAAAGAATTTTTTCACATATTTTTTTCGTTAAATTTTATTCTTTTCATTTTTAATGGTTTAACTGACTTAAAACAAAAATACAAAAAAAATATTGTTTCTATGAAATATTTCATAAAAGAAAAGAAAAAAGTTTTTTTTCATAAAAAAAATTATTAAAAAAAGGAAGAAAAGTTTAATAAGCCAGGTTTGTAGAATAGAAAAGAATAAAGAGAAAAAACCACTTAAGTTTTGTAATGAGAAGAAACACACACACACACACTCACGACCCTTTAGTAGAATCGATTATAACTGAGGAGTGTGTTTTCTTCGTTATTATTATTATTGTTATAGAAAACAATAAAAGGAACAGTATTATATTCTGTCTGAGTAAAATAATCATTTGAATAGTCCGCCTAAACTGATGACAGATTTAAAACAATGAATAATTCAATAGATCATTTAACTGATATTACAATTGATCCTTTTGTTTTAGTCTCGTTTTATAAATATTTGAAAATCGGTGTATGATATGAATTGAATAAACACAAGAGGTATTTTAGTGAATGAAAATATATATATTAGTGGTGATAATCGAATGTATATGGATATAAAATGAAAGAATCACTTAGTTGTTATGACTTTATGGCCTGTTAGTTATTACGTAATTTATTCGTCAATCAAAATATGACTTATTTGTTCTTGTACTGTACTAAAACGATAACATCCAACTGGTTTGATCAGTTTAGTGTCCTATTGGTTTGTTGCTTGCCTAACCCATCCAGTTGAGTGTAGAATGCTGATAACAGATTCCACTATGCGACTCATTTGTTTCAGACATACTGGGTTTATATATCAGTCAAACAGACCGCATCGCACCATAAAATAGGAAATAACTTTCATACACAAATAAGCCAAAAAGTGGCTGTGAACGTGGGAGATAGTAATGAATAAACTGAGTATAACATATGGACAGTAAATCGTACAATAATAATCTATAAGTCAAAATGAAGCTTATAATAAGAGGAATATGTATATATACATAATCTAAATACTGAATAATTATACCATAAGAATATATAGATAATATAGGTCCATTGATAAGTCTCAGAAGTTACCCGTAATTTAATCTTCATTAAGACATAACATTAGTAAGATATGAGAACCATACAGTAAATAGTTCATTTAGTCCATCATTTCAGACTTGATTGTTCCTTCATTTCCACACAGATCATAATTTATTTTCATTCTCTTTTCTTTAATCTTCTTAATCTTCTGCTGCCAGGTATTTCACTTTCGATTAATGTTACATACTACTTATATCTGTCGACATCAGTAGCATACACTACAGTATTTAGTTTTTAGAATAAAAAATTAAAAATGTGAATTGTAATCACTTACTTTTTCCTAAAAAAAAGAAACAATGATTATTATCAAAAGGGGTCTTGTGGAGATTTTAGTATTTTCTATAGTTGGAATCATGAGTCCATTGAAGCTAGATACCGTGGAAAATCTAGAAGCACTGAACAGTTGTTTCATCCTAGTATGGTAATCCTCAGTTGACTCATAATTTCAACTATTGAAATTTCTAAAATCTCCACAAAACCCCTTCTGATAATAATCATCAACTCACTAGTGACTGACTTCAAGAGGCATTTCCTGGAGTCGTAGTGAGAAGCTGTTACCAGTGGAGTGCAGTCAAGTCTGTTGTGAGATATCAGCTCACTGAAGACAATGGTGGACGGTTACGCAATTTTGTGGAATGGTTGAAGTCAGACATTAACACCGTTGGATGGCGACTCAGTGGTCTGATGGTTAAGCATTCGCGCGTGAGAGTGATAGACCCCGGGTTCAAGTTTCGCGGGGGCGGGGTCATGGATGCACATTGCTGAGGAGCCCCATACTAGGACGAAACGACCGTCCAATGCTTCCAGATTGCCCATGGTGGTCTAGCTTCAATTGACTCATGAACTCGACTATTAAATTGTTATAATATCCACAAAAACCCGTCCTCATACTACTTATAAAATGTTAATCAGTTTGACGAAACTAGTCAATAAGTAATTGTAAACATCAGTCTCAAGATAGTTAGCAACTGGATCGCTGGAATTTGATCAACATTAAATAGACTAGATAAACAGGAACATGATCATTGCCCGGTGATTAATTAACTGTTAATTACACAATATAGATGTAATTATAATATTTTTTGAGTAATATTACCTAGGGACTAATAGTGTTATCTTACTATTGAATCTATTCATCGGTAAAGCTGATTTCGAACTGTAGTCTTGTTAGTTGAGTCGTGAATGGTTTAACCAGTGAATCACTGTTTTCTGTTCACAATTTCTAGTTTGACAATAAAATATTCACCATAGACATAGATGGATGGTGCCTAGCAGTGACACACAAGACACGCGTTTCGTCTTATTCGTGACTTGTCAGTTGAATGTACCTGCATCCCAGAGTTGATATTCATATCAAGACTCGACCCAACCGCTGTTCACGTTCTGGATGAAACTGCTAGCCACCATCATATCTTTTGTATCGCTTGTGATTTAAGGCAATATCGAGGCAATATGTATAGGATGCACATATGTCAATAAGAGATTAATCAATTACAGTCCTAAACATCAATGGGAAGATTCAAACAACCAATACAAAATGAATTAGAAGTATTCATCATTAGATAATCTTGCTCAAAAGGATTATCACAGTTAATAAACCCTTATTTAACCTATTTGAAAATCTCTTCATCACTACAGAATAGATTATTACTAATTAGTTAATTTCATAACAATTCATTCTCTTTCATAATTGTAAAATATACCAACTGAAGAAATGATGAAAGAATTTCATACATTCTTTTAGTGACTATATCGGTACACTTTCAAGGCCATCCAATGGTAAAGCCATCATTCAATAGCTCATTAGTGATATTTGATCTCTGATTCATTGTGTAAGTACTGGTTTCATTGACAAAGTAATAAGAAACTAAGCAGCATTAAACATCGTTTCAAAAGTTCTAATTTAACGTGTTATGAAGTCGTCCACTATGTCATATTTAACAGTAAGGAAGACATGTTACTGTTTTTAAAAATGTATGATTAAAAGTTTTTGCATAAAGTCATAATATTTCGTATTTGGAGGCATTTTGTGGGAGGTTTAGAACTTCGTCATCCGGTGTTACATCCAGCTGAGTTATTTACTCTTATGTTCATGATTGAGATTTTCATATTGATTCATAAATGATTAGTTATGAATGTCTACAACAATCCATTTCAAATTGAATTGAAACTCACACCCATTGCACAAGTAAGCGACTATCCGGACTCAGTAATTAAGTGGATATCAATATGGTGTTTGAGGCGAACCCACTAGGAATCGAATCCAGAACTTTCAGACTTTGTATAAAACACTCATCTTTTAGACTAATAAGTTGATGTCCAACAGTTTGTATATCTAACCTCAGTCAGTTCCCTATATTATATAACCATCTCCCAATGCTTTTGCTGGGTAACTACCTAATATATAGGATCTCTGGATCTCAGTGGTATATTTGCGTTCACATTTGTCTTAGACAGATATTTTTGGGCATTGTCTAGTAATGTCATCTCCATTCTCCTTTCCTCATCCAAAAAAATATATCTATAGGTATATGTCAGTACATCAGATGTACAAATGCATGCAAATTATCATCGTAAAGATGCTGTTATTATACAAGAGGGTTTTCAACGATTTCGTGCAACAGAAAATTGTGGTATTACCAAATGTCCATTTTATAAAGAATGTACTACACATTTTCATTGTCGACGTAATAATTGTCACTTTACATTTAAAAATAAAGCTGATATGGGTAAGTGGGTTTTTTATTCGGTAAACAATATTTTATATTATAAATTCTACACAAATGTATGTTCGTAGGAACGATCGACAATTAGGTAATAGTGAATCACGTCTTAGCAACCTACCTAGAAGTGTCTACTGATAACCAATGTACTTCAACCATTATGGCTACATTATTAACCATAATGGTTAACATTTCCAAAGTTGACTAATTTAGCTGGTAAGCAAAATATTCACAACATAAAATAACTTGTCACCTAAATACCTGATAGTAATATCACATACTACTCAGGTAAGATCATAATCACTCGATCACAATGATGAGTCCAATGATGATATCCAGTGGTTGGAATCATTCATCAGTATGTAGTATGTATACTATTTATAGGTTTGAACTATTTTTAACCTAGTCATAGTCAGAGAGGTTTTAGTAAGTTATGTCGGCCTCAATTGGCTCTTTAACAGTAACCAATATCATATTTTTTAAAATGTTAAGTGTTGAATAAATTCTGTCGATCAGTCCTTCATTCTTTATCGCTACTATGCAATCACTTCCAACTAAACTGAACATCAAAAATACATACAAAGTTTAGCCATTCAAATCAGTGGACCTATCGTATTCAATTGTCATTAGGGCGAAATATAATAAGCTTTGATTTTGGGATAGAATGAATGTATCAACACTGTCTACATGGGTTAAAACCTCGTAGTTTGTTATCATCATCTAACGGTGAGTGAATTAGCAGAGGTATATGTATCAGTCATTAGTTTAAAATAAAATTCTCAGCGAAACGCCAAAACGTACCATTTCTTCCACACATACTTTTCTGTGTAGAGATATACTACTTATTAATAATAGTGAGTAGAATAAGTGTATAATGAAATGAAAATTAAAACATGTAATCATTAACATTTGACCACTATGAAAAAAACTACGTTAACCTCTATTCTTATCTCTCTTCCACACTAGAAAAACATAAAGTACATCATCAGAAAAATGATAGATTTGCACAAGATGGATTTCGTCGTTACATAAAATGTGAAAATTGTGATTTTCCCGATTGTCAGTATTCTGGCGTAATAAACCATATTCATTGTATTCGACCAGGTAAGTTTAGGATTTTTTTTAATGTACACTTAGCAAACTACACAATAAGCATTCGTTGTCTTTTTGTAAAAAAATTATACAATTATTGAAAACCTGGAAGTACTGGACAATTGTTTTGTCCTAGTATAATAATCTTGATCAGTGCCCATCTACGCCCGACCGTTGTTGCTACCTTGACGTGGTGGTTGGGCTTGCCCACCGTGATGAAGCAGTCGAGCTATACTGACTGGAACAACTGTTCCTCAAAGTCCTACCATGTCAGACAGGTCGGTTGAAGAGCGGTAAGACTAAAAGAAACAAACCTAAGGTCTGAAGGCGAAGTCGTACTGCTGACTGTGCAGAGGTGTGACAGCAGTAAGGTGTTTCCTTCAGACAACCAGCATGACAACGATGCTGCCTTCCCACATGGAGGGGTGGGGTTAGAAAAGGTCGACCCTGAAAATGCACACCTCGTCTTGTCCCACGGATATCCGTCTCCGGCGGTAAGGTCTCAACAAGTACGGAGCTAACACAAAAATTACACATAAAAAGGTTGTGTGTGACCGACCTCAAGCAGTTGTCTCTTGGGCACTGCGGTCACGCCCTCAGGTCACTCATACCAACTCTAATCCGATTTCCTTTTCAAATACCTCCAGAAGAACCCTTTCACGGTGTGGGCGACCAGGAAGTGATAACAGCCCTCATATCTCTGACAGCATTCAAGGCCACTGTATTCATAATCAACCTCTCCTCCCCCATCTACGAGTTTTGTTCTCTGAGCTGTATAGTTTGGTCGTGGAACTTCTACCTGAAGTTTGTGCTGATGCCATCGTTCATAAGAACGATGTAAGCTCCATCACGAAACCATCCATCTCAGAGAACATAACTTCATCAAAATCACATTTCATTATTAATCCTTAATTAAACTGATCGTTATAGCTTATTATTGCTTTTTTGTTTGTTTGTATCTTATCAGGATGTGATTATGTAATCCATTCATCTAGTCAAATCATGTCACATAAACGAAAACATGATAGACGATTTGCATCATTTTCACCGAAATATATAAATATGTTATATCATGATGATATCAATCAAACATTTTCTCCATCTAATCAAAACAACAACAACAATAATAATAATGATAATGAAGATTTAATCAATATTCATGAAAATAAAATCAATAAAATTGATTTCAATCTTGATATCCATACAATTGATTTATTAGAAACAAATACATCGATGAATCATTTAAAACAATCATTTTATAATGAATTTCAATTATTACAAAATGATTTCAATAATAATTTCAATAATTTAATGACTACTAATGATTTATTAAATAAACTATCAAAATTTGTTACTATGTGTATATATCGACGTGAAAATTGGGAACATATATTATTAAAAATCAATAATTTTGATGATCATTTAAATTATGAACATTTATTATTATATAAAAAAATTGATAAAATTCTTATCTCTATTTATCAATCATATAATCAATATTTAAATAAATGTTTTTGGCCAGGATGTCATTCAAATATGAATAGTAATATGATTGATAATACCACCACCACTTCCTCCACCACCACGACCTCCACGACCTCCACGACCACCACCACCACTACTACTACTACTAATAATAATAATAATGATAATAATGGTAGTAATGGCAATAATAATGACGATGATGATGTAAAACAATATGGAGACTCTTCTAAAACATGGTGTAAATATTGGTTATCTCATTTATGGGAAGCATGTTTATCATTTTATGCTTATATAGAATGTAATCAATCAAATTGCCCAATTCAATCCAATAATAATAATAATAATAATAATGATCATATTCATTGTCGTTTTTGGCCAAAATGTAATTTTATTAATTTATCAAATCAATTAAATTTTCAAATATTATATAAACATTTTCTTTCACATAATGAATATTTAATGACTAATTCATTAAATGATAATCAAAATCAAAATCAATATCATGTTACTATGGATACAACATATAATAATTTAATTAATCCAAAACGTAGAGGTAGACCACCAAAATATGCTAAACATATTTATGTACCACATATTAATCCACCTGAATATTTATGTATAGATAATCAATATACTATTGATTTAACATATTCAATGTTTTTTGATCCGATCGATAATGATATTGATCAAAATGTATTACATAATCACGTTAGCAACTATAACACCATGTTATTAAGCAATAATAATAATGAGAAAGAACAAAATCAATTTAAACATATAAAATATGCTATAAAATTATTTTTACCTAATGAAATTTGTCCAGATATAAATTGTCCATATTATATAACCCATGAACAACATTATCATTGTGTTAAACCAAGATGTTATATGTCTACTAATAAATTAGATTTAATTAATATACATCGTCGTGAATTTCATCAACATACTATAATAGAAAAAGGTTTTGAATATTATGATATTAGTATTGATTGTCGTCGTCCATTATGTCATAATAATAAAATCAATAAACATTTTCATTGTATTTATCCAAATTGTGATTATACATTTATACGTTCTAGTACAATGCAACAACATTTAAAAAAGCATACAGAAAATTTAAAAACGAAACAAACTATAAATCGATCAATTGTTGCTATGGCAACAACTACATCATCAAGTATAGATAATAATATAATGAATAATAATAATAATACAAAGTGTAATCATTCAAATAATATACAATCAATGAATTCATTACATCCAATTGATATACATTCAGAACAATTATTATCTATTCCATTATGTAATCATCAAATGAATAATGATAATAATAATGATAATAATAATAATATGACAAAGAAGGATTGTACAGAAGATTCATCATTACCTAATTTACAACCTAATTGGACTGCTGCAATGGTTACAGATGTTAATGATGTGACGATAGTGTCGATGAGTTCACCAGTGAAAATAGATTGTTCATCTGAATGTACAAATGAATGTTTATAATTAATAAAAATGTGTATATATATATATATGTATATCTTCAAGGAGTCAATTCATATGTTAGTTAGTATAGAATAAAATCTTGTCCAAGAATTAACTACCTATAATCAAAGCATTAAAAATAGGTATGTAGAGGATACTGTATAAATAATTTTAAAACTTATACCAATACTAATCAATTTTCAATATTGTAGTTGTTTATAATCGAGTAAAAATATTATTCTGTTTGATTTATAGAAATGATAATTACAGTATATACTTACTTACTTACTTACTTAGGCTTATTACCCCCAATCGAGCATAGGCTGCCGACAAGCACTCTCCAAACCCACTCTGTCCTCGGGCTTCCTTCCTAGTTCTATCAAATTCTCGTTCATTCTTCTCATATCTGTATCCATTTCCCGGCGTAATGTGTTCATTGAACTTCATCACCCCCTTTAGCATTGAGGATTCCAAGTCAGGGAGTGTCTGGTCACGTAGTTGGATGCTTTCCTCGATATGTGTCCTATCCACATCTAACACTCCTTACTCATTTCTTCCTCCACTCGAATCTGCTTTGTTCTCTCCCACAGTAGATTGTTACTCGTAGTGTCTAGCCAACGAATCTGAAGTATTTTTCATAGACAACCGTTGATAAACACTTGTATCTTCTGGATGGTGATTTTCATAGTTCTCCAAGTTTCCGCCCCATACAGTAGAACTGTCTTGATATTTGTATAGGATATTCTGACTTTGGTGTTGGTTGATAGTCGCTTCAAGTTTCAGATGTTATCCAAATATAGATATTCTGCTCTTCCCTTGCCAATCAACGCATTCACATCTGCATCAGATCCACCATGTTCATCAATGATGCTGCCCAAATATGTACAGTTTTCTACATCCTCCAAAGCTTCTCCATCAAGTGTGATTTGACTAGTGCATGTTGTGTTGTATTGGAGACTCTTGCATTTCCCTTTGTGTATATTGAGACCTACTGCTATTGAGGCTGCTGTTAGACAGGACGTCTTCTGTTGTATTTGTTGTTATGTGTGTGACAGAAGAGTCAGATCATCTGAGAAGTTTAGATCTTCCAGCTGCATGTAAGATTAAATCTATTTAAAAATACACACGTTTTCCAATGTCCTAGAGATGATTTATCTATTATTCAATAGAAGCTAATTTATATTCTAAAAACAATGATTGTACTCAATGTATTGTGGAACACTAAAGTTGTTTCATTATACACACAATATCTATGATAGATATTCATCAGGTGTCACCAATGAATATACAAATGAAGCATTCATGTGACTCTGCGATAAATGGTTGTTAAATCATATTTTAAGAATAAAACCATGGTGTGATAGAATTGTTGAGTTAGAAATGCTTAAGGTTTATATAGAGCTTTCAGGTAAGTAGATACATTTTTATACTGAGTTATGATGGGTCAAATCAGGCACTTTCGACTTTTATATATTTTATGATGGAAAGAAAATACATAGACCTCCACCAAAGTAGTGTGTTATTATCAGATTTTTCTCAATAGCAAAATCAATGTATACAATCTTTAGAATCATATTGTCTAGCTTCGCTAGCTTATCTTCTCAGCTTTAAATATATCGACAATGTTTGTGGAGATTTTGGTATTTTCGAGGTTGAAATCACGAGTCAATCTACTCTAGACCACCAGTGATAACTTAAAGGCACTGAACGGCTGTTTCGTCCTAGTATTGGAGTGCTCAACATTACGTACCCACTATCATGCACACAAGCCTCGAACCCAGCACATTCGTTATTGCGTAGAAAAGCTTGACCTCTAGACCTTTAACTCCCCATTCGCGCGCGAAACTGAATGTGGTGGATTCGAATCCTACGCTCGAGATCATGGATGCGCACTGTTGTGGAGTCACAGGTTACAAAGAAACAATTATCCAACTCTTCCTAGTTTCCAATCTTTGTCTAACTAGGGTCATTCCATGATGCAAACTAGAAAAGTTAGCAAGATCTCACAAATCGTATTCACTAATCACTATCTTATAATTACAACCGCTTTTTCTATATTCATTTTGTTTTATTTTTCAGAATTAACTCCGGTAGAATAACTCCCACTACTCTCAGTCAATAATAAATTATTCTTTTGTTGCGCCCAATGAATGTCTATCCGTGTATTACATACATATTTGTGGCAGATGAATGAAATATGTTCATGACTCAATAATAATAATTCATTCTTCATTTATTTCATAAATTATTTTTGCTTTTAAATGGTTATTAATGTTTACAAGCTAAACAATAACTAACCATCTTTTAATCAGTATTATTATGACTACTAATTTCATTTTAAGTAGTATTATATGCATATAGGGTGTGTATTTACAAGTGATGTATTTATCATAATAAAAGAATACTTTCATTATTCATAATTTTATTTGTATCCACCGGTTCATACTAAAGATATTTCATTAAAGAAGCCTTATTCTATCCTTTTTTCTATTGTGAACATGTTTTTTACTGATTCATTGGCAAACTGTTACTTTTTTCTTTCGAATTTTTGCCAATCTTTTCAAAGACAAACATGAAAAATTGTCTGTTTTGTATACAATAATTACAATGTTCAACTTTTCATTTAATTATTGATCTATAGTATTATTTATCCCCAAATTTTCTTCAACATCTATTTACTACTTAATTAATTAAATAGTAGTATTCATCAGAAGCCTTTAAATTGTGAAAGTATAATGGCGTTAAAACCCTCTTTTTTCACCTAGTATTACATTTACCGATCTGCCTTTATATATATTTATATATATACTTTATTTACTGACCATCTCTACCAAACAGTTGCCTTATCGATCAATGGAGATAACTGAGACCTGTGCAACTATTTATTTTACATATTATAAAAAAGAATAATTATTATCTTAACATAATCACCCTGAGAACAATGAGGGGAATTATTCAATATAAGACTTTTGAATTGTTCATAAAATCAATTTCGTTTCTTTTTTATTCCTCTTTAAAAATGTCCATTGTTCATGTTCATTCTAAAGTAATTCGACTTTTGTTGTTGTTGTTGCTTTAGTTACTACTTCGTTTTTTATTCATTACCTTGTTTACAATGACTTTTATCTTCTTATCTTTTCTAATAAAATATACAAAATAAATATCCCCCGATGAAAAACAACCTCTCGCCCTACCCCCCACCGATGATAATTAAAAATCTTGGTGATAACTTTTAAATATGACACCTTTTATATGTAAACAAACTGTCAAGTGTTTTTTTTATTTGTATAGTTTAATGTGAATGAATTAGATTAATTTTGTGGAAAAATTTATAAGCTAAGGTGGGTAGTAGCTAGCAGTGGAATTCAGAATGCGCGATTCCTCCTGTTTGGGACTCGTCAGTTGGATGTATCTGTATCCTAGAGTTGATGTTCACCCCGGGACTCGAACTTAGTATCGTCCGATTCAAACGCCATCGCGTTACCTGCTTCTGCAATGGGGTGAAGTCGCTTTTAAAGCTTGTGAATTAAGGCAGTATCAGGGCAACACGCACAGGATTTACATATGTCAATTAGAGATTGATCTATTGTAGTCCTAAATAACAATGAAAAGATACAAGTAAACAATACCAAGTGAATTTATGTGGGAAAATGTCAATATTTAAGTCAAATGTCAAACAAATCATGAATTAGAAAGTAACTTCAAAGTTATTACACATAGATCAATCTAGAATGACGTTAATCTGACATCGTAAAACCAAGATGTTAACTGTCGACTATAAATCACTCACTTATGATTGTAAGAATGAAATAAGTGTGAATGAGTGTAAAAGATAAGGAGATTGAAGTAATATTTATTAGAGTTAATAATGACAACTACAGTTAAGAAATAAGTTTGGGGTTAGTTATGAGTTATAATTAGGATTTAGAATGATGGTTTAGGATATGGGATAAAGAATTAGTTTTAGGATTGAAATAAATGTATAGTAGAATACCTTCGAGATAATTCATATGATTTCCATATAAATTGCCCTGATAACTGTCATTGTGTAACTCCCAACGGTATATGCATTTCAGAAGATAATTCGAAGAGCTGACTATGGTTTGCTGTTTTATAGCGCAGATCACAATTCCAAAAGCACACGAATTGAGTACAAATTGAAATAAGTATATCACTAAAAGAAACACACAGGAAAGCGGGTAAGCCATTGTGAGATAGAAAAAAATTGTTTCTGAACTAGGGACATTGTCTGTCAAATAGGTCAATTGAAGAGCTTAACAAAATCAAACGAATACAAACTTCAGTGTAAGTGAGGTTGTGACACGTGCTACTGATGTCGACAGATATAAGTAGTATGTATCATCAATTGAAAATGAAATATCTACAGGTAGAAGGTTAAGAATATTGAAGAGAAGAGAATGGGAACTGAGAATAATTGGTGTGAAAACGAAGAAACAATGAAGTCTGACAGGAATGACTGGCATTTTGCAAATGAATTATTTACTGTATGGTTCTCAGATTTTACTAAGTTGTCCTGTAATTTTATGTTCAGTTACATTCGATTGTCCTCACTTGTGTTCTCGATCACTTCAATGGTACCATGAAGATTGTTAATTAACAAAATCAAGATATGTGTAGTGACTCACATTTATCACGAGAACACGACTGGTTTAATATAAACAATTATTATTATAACCAACTGTACCAGTGTTTGTTTTAATGTGCTTTTGTTTGACTGTGCTAATGACAGCTATATTGTGCTTCCATTCTTATTCTTAAACTTTGATTGTGACTTCGCGCGATTTCAGTTACATTCTGTAACCAAGCTTGTACCCTGGCACGATCTCGGTATCCTTTCGATACCACGAGATCGCCAGCAAATATATCTCGACTTGGTCCATTAACTGCCTTCTGATATTTGGCTTCTCGGGGATTTTATGGATTTATTCGGTTACGTTCAACCTTCGCCTTCTGATTTACTTGGCACGTGTTTCTTGGTAGCAGTGTTCACAGTTAATCTCGACTCGACGCCACGCTACATATGCTTATCATCAGTGAATGACCTGAATTTGATAAGAAAAACATGTACAGTCTTTCAACGACTGGTCCTCTTCTATAACACGCATAAATAAAAACAAGATTATGAATAAATCCGATGAAAGGGAGATTATTAAAAAAATAAAAAAATGTATTGAATGGCCGTTATTGAGGTAGTATATTCAATGCTTATGTAAAATAAAACCAGAGTAATCAAATCATTGTAAATTTTGTTAAACTAGAAATTCAATTAAAAGTATAGCTTATTTGTCAGGTACAAAAAAGAAATATCCTAAACCAAAGATTCCTTAAATTAAAGTATGCAGATAAGGCAATTAGGTTTGTATAACCACATTTTAAAGTCACAGGGCACAATTCAAATAACAAACCAGTAACCAATCAGTTGTTTGGTAAGTTCGATGACAAAACAACAGTAATGTGTTTATAAGAGAAGAAACTTGTTCAAAAAGCTATTTTATATGAATGTGATGAGGAACTAGGACTAGTGAGTGAGATCTTGAGTTAAAGGTGATGACATTGTGTTTCGAGTTGTCATTTTCATTTCGGTGTAAGAAATTTGTTTAAAGTTGATTCATTAGCAACTAATACTTATGACGATCAATGGAATCTTATAAACTTTTATAGCTAATGTAGCTGCTCTCATTAATGTAGGTAAAGTCACAATGATGCAATGGTATAAATATTACAGGGTTATTTTCTTGGGAATTATGATAAGAACAAAGCTATCAACAGAGGAGAAAAGTAGAAGCGTTAAGATTAACAAAATAATCATTAGAATAATTCATATGAATGAGTTTTTTCCTGTTAAATTTTTTAGTTATAAATGTTATATCCCGATGAGAATAATGAACGGTAACCGTCAGAATCTAATTATGGACAAATACTATGCGTATATTTTTGTCATATAATTGTTAAATGACAAAACTATTCCTATTCGTGTCCCACTTATGATAAGCTTTATTTTGACCTATGAACTTATATTATACGATTTACCATTTTCGAGTTATACGCAATCTATTATTTACCGTCTCCCACATTCACAGCCACCTTTTGGCTAGATCTTGTACAAATGTTACTTTCTATTTTACGGTAGAAAGTGGTCTGTTTGGTTGGTATATAAACCCAATATGTCTGAAATAAGTGATTCATATTGAGAGGCTGAGATTGGTGTTCTGGACTTGACAGGTGGGGCTAGGCAGGAAACAGGACTGATAAGGATTCTATACTTCTAATGCGGGTTTTATGCGTCATTGCTCCGGTCGGTAACTCACTGTTCTCTAATTGGTGGTATAATTGCGTTATACATTGATAGGGGCACTAACGCACAAGTTATAACAGTAAAAAGCAAGAAACATTGAATAACTTCGAACAATTCATAATTCAATGTAAAACATACAGTTTAACTGTGCCTTACTGACGCCTGTTACCCCCGATCGAGCATAGGTTGCCAACCGACGTTCTCCAACCCACTCTGTCCTCGGGCTTCCTTCCTAGTTCTATCCAATTCTCGTTCATTCTTCTCATATCTGTATCCATTTCCCGGCGTAATGTGTTCATTGAACTTCATCACCCCCTTTAGCATTGAGGATTCCAAGTCAGGGAGTGTCTGGTCACGTAGTTGGATGCTTTCCTCGATATGTGTCCTATCCACATCTAACACTCCTTACTCATTTCTTCCTCCACTCGAATCTGCTTTGTTCTCTCCCACAGTAGATTGTTACTCGTAGTGTCTAGCCAACGAATCTGAAGTATTTTTCATAGACAACCGTTGATAAACACTTGTATCTTCTGGATGGTGATTTTCATAGTTCTCCAAGTTTCCGCCCCATACAGTAGAACTGTCTTGATATTTGTATAGGATATTCTGACTTTGGTGTTGGTTGATAGTCGCTTCAAGTTTCAGATGTTATCCAAATATAGATATTCTGCTCTTCCCTTGCCAATCAACGCATTCACATCTGCATCAGATCCACCATGTTCATCAATGATGCTGCCCAAATATGTACAGTTTTCTACATCCTCCAAAGCTTCTCCGTCAAGTGTGATTTGACTAGTGCATGTTGTATCGTATCGGAGAATCTCGCTTTTCCTTTTGTGTATATTGAGACCTACTGCTATTGAGGCTGCTGTTAGACAGGACGTCTTCTGTTGTATTTGTTGTTACGTGTGTCACAGAAGAGTCAGATCATCTGCGAAGTTTAGATTGTCCAGCTGCATGCTAGCTGTCTACTGTATCCCATGCTTCCCTTCCAAATGTTAACCTCTTCATAATCCAGTCGATAACCAGAAGAAAGAGAAAAGGTGTGAGTAACCAACCTTGCACGACACTAGTCTATACTCTGAACAAGTATATGAGCTGTCCTTTAATTCTACCTATTACCGATTATTTCTTCAATTTACTAGCTGCTTATTGATCACTTGAAAATAAATGAAATATCTTTCTAGATCACTTTGAAAGTCATTGAATTACACATGGATACTTTCTTGGTTTTTTTACTAATACAAAACTTATATCTTTCCAAAAGAAAAAAACAAACAAAACAAACCATGCGATTGTTTAAAACAATTATCTACATAAATAATATAACTAGACATATGAAGACAATTGGATACACTATTTCATCATGCTGTTACAATCTATACACTGAATAATTATGTATTCTTTCCATAGAACCTAAAGAACAAAATCACTAATACACAGCATGGTAACCATATGAAACTATTTGAAAGAACAATAATAATAATAATAATAATAAAGAAGAACAAAGCTGAACATGTATAAAGAGGAAGAAAAAAACAAACTAAATCATAGAAGTACTTTGAAAAGTACAAGAAAGAATACAATTTCACTTGTGTTATTTTTTCATCACAATTTATTGATTATTTTTTGTTGTGATTGTCGTTGGTGTTGTTGTTGTTGTTGTTGCTATGGTTAGAAATCTGGGTAAATAAATAAACTTTACTGTCAATCAGTTTATTATACAAGAAACACTTCTCATTAATTATCATTGCATTAAAGAATGTACAAATTTTTAAAAAAAAATAATAGAAAATTCTGAATTACTTGTTCCAAGTACACTTTCCAAGATATTGGTTATTGAATACATAACAAAACAAGATGTTTCTTTCTTTTTCCCCTGTCTAGATTGATCATTTTAATTTTACATATGTGTATACATGGAATAATACCTGATAATGTGAGATCGTTGAATGATATATTTCTATAGAAACTTTACAGGATATGGAATCTTTGACGTACCTAGAAAGCA